GGCAAACCAGACCCTAAACATTGAGTTGTGGGCCTTGTAGGCTCATAAACTTGTGTTCGGATTCTAGAGCTCAACCAACGAGGTACAAATCGAGTGGGCTAGGAACATGCGAATAAAACCATGGGTTAGTTTGGATGGATTAATCTAAAAATGAGTCAATTTGATTAATTGTCTCGTTTTATAAATGAGACAATTAAAACGATACAATTCGAATCATCTGTCCCCACCTCAGGTAATTGAAATTGACTCAAAACAGATCAATTCAAAATACCTCAGGCAGATTGATCCATCCAAATTTTTTGCTGGCAAACGAGGCAATTTAGTACAATTGTCTCAAAACGAGACAATTGTGTCAAATTGATCCGTTAAAATTTCTCATCCAAATGACCTCCATGAGACCATGCCCTGCCAATCTGAAGCATGAAGCCTTGATTCTATATAGGGTGTTACAGTCTGTTCTAATTTATATGTAACTCCACCACTAAGTTAATTAGATAAGCATAATTAACAAGCTATATATAATATCTATTCCCCCCCCCCCCCCCGGATGAAATATGCAGCACCTAATGGATAGTTAAAATGGATGTCATAATATCAAGATTCGGATACAAAGGCATATTGATCATTGAAGACTGTAATATCATGTAAAAAATTAGTTGGTCTCAATAACTTTCAATTCCATATATATAGATTGTATGTTGTAATTACCTTCTTAATTTAATCATATGACTATTACTTACACGCAAATTAGGAGGACTACTAAGTCTACAATTCCAGTGCAATCATATTTGTAGTTATTGTTTTTATAATTATTATTTTGATAATATTATAACTCCGATCGTTACTTCTTATATTAAAATGGTCGCTAATTTCTAGAAGGCTAATACAATATTCCGTCCCTCCAAACATGCTAAAAATTTGGAAACAAAGGGCAACAAATAATGAAAATACTCTTCCGAATTTTACAATATTAAATAGCATTGGTGCTATAAGTTTTTATTTTTATGGTACAACTTGAAGTTGTACGTTTAACGTTATGGTACAACTTCAGATTGTACCTATACTCTTTGTAGAAATTCTTTTATGGTACAAATTGAACTTGTACATTTATGTAACGGTACAACTTTAGGTTGTAAAGTTGTACCATAACATAAGGGTACAAATTCTTTTATGGTACAAACTGAACTTATCCATCTAACGTTATGATAAAACTTCAAGTTGTACATTAAAACACCAATGCTTTATAGTATAGTAGAAGTGATCTTCCTTGAATTGGGTTCGAGAAAAAAATAAGAAGAATCCGGTATGCACCAGTAGGGGACTAGGGGTGGCTATACGGTCTGGTCCGGTTGAATTGGCTCAAACTGATCCGGTCCCGGTCCGGTCTTTTCGGGAATATAAGGACCAAAGATTGGATTGGGTGTAGTCCGGTCTTGACCCAGTCCAGTCCCAATTCGGTCTTGATTGTAGATAGAGCTTCTGGAAATTTGAATGGCCTGAGACCTCAAAAGGTGATGAGTTGGTTAAGTTTTGGGTGGTGGGCTCTCTTATCCGGTTTTTAATCGGTTTTTGATCTGGTCTCAAATGATTTTTTACCTAAAATCTAATCCCGAAGATGGAATTGGATTGTTTGCTATCCTGTTACGGTCCCCAATCTGAATATACGATCCGGTTTTGGGTAAACCCAAAAAGCCCGGACGAAATAGCCCGTCCTAATCACCCGTAAACGTTGTAGAGCAAAAGATATCACATTTTCCCCCTAGGTGGGACGGTTTCTCTTCTCGTAACCGCTCCGATGTTCCTCGATTGAAATCCTTCGGGCAATAGCCGCCGTGAGCAAGGCCTATCTGCTGCTTGAACGCCTACGTGCGCCTGATCAATTCCTTCGCAGATTCAACGCTGCCACAGCGTTGAAATCGAACCTCAAAGTCACAACACCATCCCAACGCTAGCCACAATGAGGCTTGGGCGTCGGCCGTTTCAACGCCTTCGCCGCCAACCACCTCTGTCACTTCTTCTCCATCGCTACCTGGTATATTTATTGTTCCCCCTCTGTTCGGTTATTTTGTTTCTTATTCATGGACGCAGGATGTCCCCCGCGCAAGTCTGTCAACTGGTCACGCAACAAAGCGATCGATCAACTTGCCTCCTTCTCTAAGTCACCAATTTTCTCGTGTCACCAATTTTGGGGCAATAATTGAGTATTTGTGTATTTGAACTGAGATGTCCCAAAACTTGATCTTTCTATGTTGGACCAGAAGTCGGCTCGGCCCATGACCGAGGCACAGAAGCCCACGGACGAGATGCAGCAACCCATGACCTGCATGGTTTCCGCGTTCTCCAAGGACACAAATAATAAGCTAACCCTAGATGCATGTCGAAAGGGTTTATATAGCTCCTGTACTCTGCTTATGCCGTTAACAATTCAAGAGGAATAAAATCAGTAGCTGGAGGATTCAACCCTCCCGTGGATTAGTCCCGAACACCTTGGGGATACCACATTAAAATTACTTGTCTCGATATTTTCGTTTGGAAGTTTCTCTCGATTTATCATGGTATCAGAGCATTAGCATCCTGCTAGCCTCTCGCAACAATGACGGACGGCAAGACTACTGTTGATGATTCCAGCAGTGGTACCCAATTCGAAGACGACGACAACAATCTCCCGCCGGTTCTTCTTCTTCACAATTCCGATGGACCAGGACAGCTCTTGGTCGGTGATATTTTAACGTCTACCAATTATGGAGAATGGGCTCTCGACATGCAGGATTCTCTTATCGCTAAGAATAAGTTTGCTTTCGTTGATTGATCGTTGGCCAAGCCTTCCGCGGGAGAGATGCGGAACGCTTGGATCCGTTGCGATGCCATGGTCAAAGGATGGCTCAAGACTGATATGAACAAGGAGATTCGTAGTAGCATCAGGTTTGCCGAGACATCTCGTGAGATTTGGGATGATCTTCGCAATCGGTTTGGGCAAGGCAATGCGTCTCGCGCATATGACCTGCGTCGGATGATTAGCTTGCTTCAACAAGAAAAAAATTTTGTTTCAGCCTTTTACACAAAGCTGCGTTCATATTGGGAGGAGTCTACGGCAATATTGCCAAATCCCAGTTGCATATGTGGCCACTGCACTTGTGGCGTCTCGCTTCGTATCCGTGAACAGCAAGAGAGTTCACGTCTCTTTGATTTTCTGATGGGGTTGGACGATGCGTTCTCAGGCGTTCGGACTCAACTCCTTGCCATGAAGCCCACGCCGAGTTTGGCTGAGGTGTTTAACATCACCATCAATGATGAACAGCAGCGGTTGATCACACAGAACTGCAAGCCTTTTGCAGAAGCGGCCGCATTTTCTGTTCGCAAAGGCCTGGCCACCTCCGTGATCGTGCTACCGCGTGTGGTGGGAAGGAAAAACCTCGCTGCAACTATTGTCAAAGGCCTGGCCACCTCCGTGAACAATGTTACCAGCTGCATGGATATCCTCCGCGCGAAGGTCGTGAAGGACGTGATGGGCGTGATTCTCGTCCCAACCTTGACGCTCGTGATCCTTGAGAAAAGCCGAGTGAGCAACAATGGCGTCGACAGCAGGGTCGTTTTGCTGGAGAGGGCTCGACGCACGATCGCGATCGAGAGCTGCGAGCCGCTCAGTTTGAGCACGACAATGACGAGCGTAGCCCGGTTGCTGGTTTTACGTTGGCACAGTTGGAGCAACTCAAACAGTTTTTTGGGTATCAAGCTAAGGGTGCTGAAGACCCCTCGGCCCATGTAGCAGGTATGTTTTCTTTAAGCACTGAATGGTTGCTGGACTCTGGCTGTAATGAACACATTATCATGCATGATGATTTGTTGATCAACAAGATGAAGCCCGTGAACGGCCAGCCAGTTTGCATTCCTAATGGTGACTGTATACCTGTTGAACATGTTGGAAGTGTTGCTTTGGGCCCCGATCTTACGCTGAATTGTGCACGTCCCTGAGTTCCGGTGTAACTTAATTTCGGTCAGTCAATTTGCTAGAGAAAACCGTATGGCCTTAATATTTCTTGATGATTTTTGCGTCATCCAGGACTTACAATCCAGGAAGTTGATTGGGAAGGGTGAACTACGTGATGGGTTGTACTATTTGCAACTGTTTGGTGTTGGGCAGGTTCAAGCTTGTGCAGCAAAGAAGCAGAGCAAGGTACAGGATGAGATCTGGCATGCACGACTTGGTCACCCCTCCCTGGCGGAATTGCAGCACCTTCGCAAGGAGCTTAGCATTTCTTTTGTTTCAAATAAAACTTGTGATTTATGTTCTCGGGCCAAACAGACTCGTAGCCCCTTTCCCTCTAGCATGATTCGTACTAAGCAGTGTTTTGATTTAATCCATGTAGATATTTGGGGTGGTTACAAGACTGCCTCGCTCAGTGGTGCCCATTATTTTCTCACTATTGTTGATGATTTCAGTTGCGCAGTATGAGTTTATTTGCTTCATTTTAAGTCCGATGTCGGGCGCTACTTGATGCTTTTCGATCAGATGATTCGGCGACAGTTTGGCAAACGACTTAAACGAATCCAGGCAGACAATGGTCATGAGTTTAACACTCTGGCTCTTTAAGCTTACTACGACAGTGAGGGTATCCAGCTCCAAACTTCTTGTACTAACACACCTCAACAGAACGGTGTTGTCGAGAGAAAGCATAGGCACATTCTGGACACAGCAAGGGCACTCCGATTTCAAGCTAATCTCCCGATAAAATTATGGGGTGAGTGTATTCTTACTGCAGTTTATCTAATCAACCGTTTACCCACTACCACTACAGGTTGCACCCCTTTTGAAGTCCTGTTCGAACGGCCAGCTCCTTACTCGCATCTCCGCGTTTTTGGGTGTCTTGCTTATGTCAAGGATACCCATGCCTCACTTGACAAGTTTGCTGAACGAGGGAAAGCTTGTGTGTTTATTGGATACGCCTCCACACAGAAAGGGTATCGGTTTTACGAGCTAGCCACACAGAAGACCTTCACTGCTCGTGATGTTCAATTTATTGAAGATGAATTTCCTTTTCACTCTGCTACCTCCGGACGCCTTTACTGGATCCCGCGGCCCATTCTCTCCACCACCGATCCTGACTCCGATGACGAGTTGCTGGCGGACCTCAGCCCATCTAGGCCGGCCCAAGTCCCACCTTCTGTTGGGCCTGCTTCGAATGATGCGAGTGCCCCCGACGTGACTCCCAGCTCTCCTTCGCCCACGAGTCCTTCTGGGCCGTCCTCGCCTTCAACCGTGGCAAGCCCACCTTTCACTGCCACTACTTCGGGCCCGCCTGATCCAAGTCCCCCACAGCAGCCCGTGCACCGTGGTGATCGCGTCCGGACACGGCCCAAGCACATGGGCATCTACGACACCCATTATGCCCCACTCTATGCTGCTCCTTCACAGGAAAATCAACCCGACAACTCTTTATCACAGGGAAGCACCTCTACTACTGTTACTCATCCACTTTCAAATTTTGTTTCATATGAAAAATTTACCCCTGCTTACCGCACCTTTCTTGCTGCAGTAACCAGTCACGATGAGCCGCGTACCGTTCAAGAAGCACTTGCCGATCCCCGTTGGCGTGAGGCAATGCTTGCTGAGATTCGTGCACTCCAGCAAAACGGCACTTGGAGCCTCGTCTCCCTGCCTCCTGGGAAGCGCACCATTGCAGCCAAATGGGTATTCAAGATCAAATATCGCCCCGATGGGTCTATAGAACGCTACAAGGCTCATCTAGTGGCAAAGGGTTACACTCAGATCGAAGGAATTGATTTTTACGACACCTTTGCTCCTGTGGCCAAGCTGGTCACTGTTCGATGTCTTCTTGGGATCGCTATTAGCCGAGGATGGCACCTTCACCAACTCGACGTCAACAACGCATTCCTTCATGGGGACCTCGATGAGGAAGTCTATATGAAGCTTCCTCCCGGTTTTGCGGCTCTTGGTGACACCCGGGTTTGTCGCCTCTACAAGTCTCTTTATGGCCTACGTCAGGCATCTCGTAATTGGTACCAGAAGTTCACTACAGCACTTTGCAGTCTTGGTTTTCGTTCCTCGCCCGCTGACCACTCGTTGTTTATTTTTCGGCGGGGGAGTACCTTTGTTGTTGCTCTCATTTATGTCGATGATGTTCTTTTGACTGGGAATGATCTGGCCTTCATCACCCATGTCAAGCGTTTTCTAGATGAGAAGTTCAGCATCAAGGATTTGGAAGATCTTCGTTATTTCCTTGGGATGGAGGTGGCACGCACTCGCGATGGGGTTGTTCTCTGCCAGCGTAAGTATGCGTTGGACATTCTTGAAGATGCAGGGATGGAAGGAGCTCGTCCTAGCAGGTTCGCGGTCGAGCAAAATCATCACCTGTCTCGCCCCGATCCTGATGATGCTCCCCTTGCCGATCCCTCAGTGTATAGGCGACTTGTGGGTCGTCTCCTTTACTTGACGGTCACTCGTCCGGATATCACGTATGGGGTTAACATCTTGAGCTAGTTTGTCAATGCTCCCCGCCACTGTCACATGGATGTGGCCTTGCGCATTCTCCGGTATTTTAAGACCTCGCCAGGGAAAGCGATTTTCTTCCCTTTACATAACGATCTTACTCTAACGGCCTATTGTGATGCAGATTGGGATGGATGTGCGAATAATCGTAGGTCCACGACTGGATACTTCATCACTCTCGGTGGTGCTCCTGTCTCCTGGCGGACCAAGAAACAAAAGGTGGTGGCACAGTCGTCTGCCGAGGCGGAATATAGAGCTATGGCTAGTACGGTTAGTGAAATTCTCTGGCTCCGCTGGTTACTTGCTGAGCTTGGTGTCCCACAACAGCGAGCCACTCCCCTATACTGTGATAATCAGGCGGCTCTGCACATCTCTGCCAATCCAGTGTTCCATGAGCGCACCAAACACGTCGAAATGGATTGCTACTTTGTTCGTGAAAGAGTGTAGTCGGGCGCCATTCTTCCTCTCAAGGTCAGCACTCACTTGCAGCTTGCCGATATCCTCACGAAAGGCTTGGGCACTGATCGCTTCCGCTTCCTTCTTTCCAAGCTGAACGTTCATGACCTTCACGCTCCAGCTTGCGGGGGAGTGTTGGACTAGAAGTCGGCTCGGCCCATGACCGAGGCACAGAAGCCCACGGACGAGATGCAGCAACCCATGACCTGCATGGTTTCCGCGTTCTCCAAGGACACAAATAATAAGCTAACCCTAGATGCATGTCGAAAGGGTTTATATAGCTCCTGTACTCGGCTTATGCCGTTAACAATTCAAGAGGAATAAAATCAGTAGCTGGAGGATTCAACCCTCCCGTGGATTAGTCCCGAACACCTCGGGGATACCACGTTAAAGTTGCTTGTCTCGATATTTTCGTTTGGAAGTTTCTCTCGATTTATCATTCTAATCTCGCCTTTCCATTTTAGCCAGTGAGTTTTTCAAGCCTAGTAAAGAAAATAGTTTTGAAGCTTCCTTCTAATGAGCGATTTGTTAACTAGTATTTTTTATATCTTATACGTCTTTCGGTTGATGGTTTTGTGTTGGATGAGTTTGGTCTGCCACGACTCAGCCTCTTGCCTAGTTGGGGCTATTTCTTTGTTAATTTTGCAGGTACATCTGCTCATAGGGATCTAGAAGTGACCTTCTAAATCACTAGCTTGATCGTGACAGAGCTGGATTCGATGCACTGTTGTCTTCTTACTGAGTGGGTTCGATTCATGACTTTCTCCCTGCAAAGGGTACAAGTTAAGTCACGGATTCTCCCCCATACTCCTGAGGTAACAAAGAGCCACCCATATTGTTCTTTCTTCTGTTTGTTTGTTTTTTTTTTTTTGCTTGGGGGCTGCTTCCCCTGGGTTTGATCCGCTGTTGTATTTGGACATGTTGGGTCAGGAGTCTGCACATCTTGTGCGGCTTTCAGACTCTTTTCCTCCTTTCTTCTTCTTTTCAATGCAACTTTCACCTTCATAAAAAAAAAAAAAAACAAAGAGCCACCCATATCATGGCAAAAAGGCACTCTTATCGATGGATAACCGTCGTTCCTTCTCTTTTTGTGATTTGGCCTATAAAGGTCATGTAATTATTCTCGTATTTGTCTATTCCTTTTGAAATATCTATAAAAAAAAAAAACAAAATCCAAACAGCTTTATAAGAGTCATCGTGTCATACACTTGCATATAAACCATTCATGAAAAAAATAAGCATATCATAAACTTAAGATAGATAAAAGTGGAACTATTCCACTCCCCCTTTTTTATCAACCTTACCTTCAAATATTATTTATTGATTCTCTCTTTAACATGAAAGGATTACATACAATTCTAGCTCACTCGTCCTCTCATCTTTGGCGTCAAATGAAACAACTTATTTTTATAATCTTAGCTTTAGGAACTTGATGCTGTCTATTTGTCCCTTTTACTTGATTTGATAAATTCATACATATCCTTATTCGGATAGCAAATAAACTTATCTCGTAAGGTAGCTAATCAAATTTAAATTGATTTTGTATACATAAAATCTCGTTGACATGATTCTAAAGTAGGTTTTGCCCGAACCTAAGAAAGAAAGTAACAATTTTGATGTGAGTTTAATATTTAGTTATTTACATATATGCGCCACAACAATCCAATTATGCATTATAAGGGCTATGCCACTTACTCGTATTTCACCACTTTTTTGGTCTAAATGTATCAGTAGTCGCATATATTTGTTACTCATTATTTTCTAATTTGTCCAAATTGTATCTTAATAAAAAAGAGTAAAAGATATGAAGAACTTAATATATGATTCTTCAAGGATGGTGCAAATGGTTTCTATGAACCGCATACAAATAGATATTGATTACGGATGCCAACATATTGATTAGGGATGACAACATAATGGGTCGGTTTGGGACGAATAGTTGATATTCATTATTCTACTCTAACTAGTTTGGGTTTGATCCGTATTCATACTTGTATAAGTTTCGGACAGTAAATCTAAATCATATTATATCCATACACACTTAGATTTCAAGGTTTCCTGAATATCCACCAATAATAGTTTTCTCTTTATTATTTAAGATTAATATGTTACTATTTGTAAGTATATTCACATTGTAGAAGTGGAGCTGCAATAATAAGCCACAAATTTGAGAACACAGATTCATTGGCAAGTTAATATCTATTTCGAATGTTGAGAGAGAATGATTATTTTTCTAGAAAAAATAAATATACATGTATAATATTGATACAAGTAATACAGGAAGGATATAGACAAAATATGCCCATATTACTCATAATATTCGGGTTCAGTCGTTAGGTTTGTATCCGTGTTCATGGGTGATTCATTTAGTTTGGGTTTACACTATCTGAATGGGTCAAATTCGAAAATTATACATGTTGATAATTTTTTCATCGGTAATTTTGATTCTGATGAAGATAGTTAGTATTTCAAATAGTGATTTGTGGATGATATGTATGAAAAGTGTTCTCGCACGAATCCTTATAATATGTCATCCTTTATCTTTTTTTATACCAAATAAAAAAAAATGTTTATATTACAGTTAATTACAAGAAACTGATTAACCATATGCGATAGTTGACTGACGACTAATAGTCGGTTTATTAATAAAATTACATTTTGTGCTAGATGGACAACCATGTTAAATTGCCACGTGTTTACCCATAAAAATTAGCTTGAACCACATCGATTAATTAACATAGAGATAATTAATTTATAAAGGTCAGCTCAAATAATTAGAAGAGCTAGATGGGCCTTATTGGGTTGGGTTGTTTAGGCCTAAATGGCCAAGCTCCTTCTCCCATACATGATGGCAGACCTGTCTCCTTGACCCCCATAGCCGGACGATGTCGCCCCCCCCCCCCCCCCTTTGTAAGAAATTCGGCTCCCAAAAACTAAGTCTGGAAACGATGACTCAAAACAGGTGGCCCAATGACAGAGTACCATGCCAACGAAAGAGGCTTGGTAGGCTGAGGGTACCAAGACATGGAAATTGGCTAAGTATAGAGCCAAGAGGGTACCAGGCCAGGAAGGCAGGTCTGGGTGTACCACCGACAAGGAGGGCAGGGCTTGGTACCAAAACACCAAGGGGGTACCAAGTCGACAAGACCGACTTGATACAAATAGCAAGAAATTTGGCTATGTATGGAGCCAATAGGGTGCCAAGCCAACAAACCAGGCTTGGTGACCAAGCAAGAGGGTACCAAGCCGACAAGGCAGACTTGGTATCCTTAGATGATCAAGACCAAGTATGGAACCTCGAGGGTGGAGACTTATCAGCCAAGGTACCGAGGTATCAACTTGATGGAGAAGAGGGTTAAACAGGGTATCGACTTGGAGACTAAGTCCCAAAACAGGCTTGGTGGCCACCTAAATAGGGTATCAAATCGGAAAGGCGGCAAGGTACCAACTTGATGAAATTCTAAAAACTAAGCATGAAGATCAAGCCGGCAGGGGCTGGCTAGGTGTTAGGGGCCGACATGACTAGCTTGGTAGCGGGGGTATCAAGATGGAGAAGTAGTTGGCGGTAGGGTATCAAGCTGACAAGACAAGACATGGTGGGGAAAGAGGCTAAGTTTTCATCCTGTCTAGATGGGTAATAAGGCATAGCTAATAAGACAAGGATGGCAAGCCGAGAGGCATGCTTGGTAACGAGATGAAGATGGTACTAAGTCGGCATCAAAGGAGCTAAGTATGGAATCATCAAGGTGTCGGGATCGTCTAAGATGCCTGATGAGAGGGCCGATGTGATGGAGACAAGACAAGGAGGCTTCGACCCTTTCTAGTCGAGATGAGATTGCAAGATAGACCTCAAATCATCAAGCCTGATGATATGATCCCAAATTGTCAACCATTCACGTCACAATTACTTGACAAAGAAGCAATCTATGTTGGGAAGGAGAAAGGCAGAATTTGGTTAAGTGTTGGGACAGTTTCGAGATGCCTACTTTGGAGGCATGGTTCTCACAATTGGCTCACTGAAAATTGGAGTTCAAGAGCTTGTTTTACACATAAAGTTTCCATGTTTCCAATGGTATGCTTTTTGGAACCAGATGATGTCATTAAAATTGTTATCCAAGTCCTCAAAATTGCTACCTCAAAACTGGAAGACTGCCAGAAAATGGCTAAGGCAGAAAACTGTTTATTGAATCCTACTTTGGAGCTCAATTCAAGGATCATGGATGGCATTCAAGTCAAAAGGCTTCCACAACATGAAACTAGGAATTTTTTGAACAAAGGGAAGGAATTGGATAAGGAATTGGAGTTCTGGAAGGCATCGAATGAATGGTATAAAGTTAGTACGAAAACTGTTTCTGGACAGTTTGCTTGTGCTAAAAGGCAGCTTGCTTGTGCTTGAAGAGAGTTTATGGCCGAATATTGAGTCCTTTTTAGAGTTTGTTTTTACCATAATTGTTTCCTAGTTCTATTAGGTTAGTATTAGGTTTTTATTGTCTTTAAATAGCTTTCAATCTCACGTTGTAAATCATCCAAGTTTTAGTTGAATGAAAATTGCTCCTTTGTGATTATTGTGTTCTTTGAGAGTTCTCAAGAATCAACCCTTGAGTTATTTGTATGGGGAATTCCATTGCTTCGAGAACCCTTGTCAATCTTTTATGTGAGGATTCCATAATCGGTTTATGAGTTTTCTTATCAATCAAGTAAACAACTTGATTGTGGCGAAATTCTACCTATCTATTTTATATTTCGTTGAAGAGTTTCGAGCTGCGTACTTTGATCAAACAAAGCACCCCCTAGTGCTTTATCACTGAGGCCAAGCCAACCATATGACAGTTACCAACATGTCAACAAGACAGGGCAAGGGGCCCAAGGTGATGGAAGTGAGCACCAAGGAGACGACTCGTTAGAAGTTACCAAGAGGAGGAAAGGGGTCCCTAAGGCAGTTGGATCAACACGTCAGTCAGCGGTTACCAAGGAAGTTACAATCGATGTCTATAAATAGGAGAACGAAGATTGTAAAAGGTATCCACAACCAAACACTTGATACACAATGTCAAAATTTATCTTTTCTCTGCAACTTAGTCATATCCTTTAGTTTTTCGCAGCTCTCACTGAACCTCCATAGGACTAGGAGTAACTAATGTAGCTTATTCCCAAAAAACCATAAAAAACATCAAACACCCTCGTTTGAACATTGTTTGGAGAGGAGTGAACCGTGTTGATTTTCATTGTTCAAGAAGTCAATGTGCATTAATCAAGTGGCTATTAAACATAATTACAAGTTGGTCCTCATATTATATAAATCAACACTCTCCCTCAAATTGATGTGCGGTTCTCAACATTAATCTGGAAGAAAGATACTAGTGTCGACTTGAAGAAACAACCTTTGTGAACAAATCTGCAGTCTGATTTTCCGTTGATAATTAACGAACTTGTATAACTCATTCTGCCACTAACGTCTGATGTAGTGAACGTGTACCTCTATATGCTTTGTCCTCTCATGCAATACCAGATTGATGGCAATCTGTATTGCACTAATATTTTCTCCATATATCTTCATTGGGTTTCGACAATCAACTCCCAATTCTCCAAGTAACCTCTGCACCCATACTAACTCATAACTCACTTCTGACATCGACATGTATTCAGCTTCAGTAGACGACTTAGACACCCTATCCTGCTTTTTACACCTCCATGAAACAAATGATTGACTTACTCAAACACACCAGCCAGAGGTTGAACTTCTCGTATCAATACATCCTGCATAGTTTGCATATGCAAAAGCTTCAATTACTGGTTCACTTTTGGTTGGAAAGAATAGCCCAACATCCTGAGTCTGTTTCAAATATCGAAGTAACCTATGCACCGCTGCCAAATGTAGATGAGTAGCAACTCCCATAAATTGACCCACCACTTGAATTGCATAAGCTATGTCAGGTCGAGTGTGAGTTAAGTAGATCAAGCTGCCAACTAAACTGCGATATACCGACTGATCATCTATCACGTCCCCCCTGTGCGGCCGAGCTTAAGGTTTTTCTCCGTGGGAGTGGAGTAGGGTACAGAATCCACGAAATGAGAGGATTCCAGAAGATCCATCATATACTTACGCTGGGACACAAAAATACCATGTGGAGAACGATAGACTTCCAAACCCAGGAAGTACGACATTTCCCCAAGTTCATTCAGATTAAATGCGTCATGTAGAACAACCATGATCGCTCGAATCCCTTCGGTATTACTACCTGCGATAATCATGTCATCCACATAGATCAAGAAAACCACAATCCCATCCACCATATTCCGAATGAAGAGCGAAGGATCATTCTGACTCTGAGTGAAGTCTGTCTGCACTATAGTTCCATGGAACTTTTCAAACCACGCACGCGGA